CTTCAGTTGTTGTGATGGAGGAACCAGGTTCTTCTACATCAGCTGAGGGTTCTGTTGTATTTTCTTCATTGAATTCCTTGACTTGGTTCAAGGAATCTTCGACTTCCCCCTGTCTTTATCAATCTTATCATGTGAACTTTTTCCACAAAGGTGGTGTGATTCATCAAAGATTACATGTATGCTTTCTTCAACATATTGAGTCTTTTTGTTGTAGACCTTGTATGGTTTTCTTTGTGAGGAATAATTAACCACGAAAGATTCTTTCATCACTTTTGGCGTCAAATTTTCCCAAAGCTTCCTTACCATTATTGAGAATGAATCATTTGCATCCAAACGTTCTTAGTGAGTTAGCTTAGACTTCCTTCCGTTCATCAATGCATATGGAGTTTTGTTCAGGAAAGACCTGATCATGCACATGTTCACCAAGTAGCAAGCAGTGTTGACTACCTCTACCCAAAAGACTTTTGCTACGCCACTGTCAATTAGCATATTTCTTGCCATGGCTTCAAGAGCCCTATTTTCCCTCTCCACAACACCATTTTGTTAGGGTGTTTTGGGAGCTGAAATATTATGACTTATGCCATTTTAAGCATAAAATTCGTCAAATTTTGCATTGTCGAACTTTGTACCACGATCAGACCTTATACTTATAACATTATGGCTCATCTTCACTTGAATCTGCTTCACAAATGCAACAAAGACTGGAAAGGTTTCATCCTTGGTTCTGAGAAACAAGGTCCATGTGAATCTGGAGTAGTCGTCAGCTATGACAAAGATGTACTTCTTTCCTCTTCTACTTGGCACCCTCCTAGGTCCACATAGGTCCATATGGAGAAGATAAAGAGGACCCGACTTGCTTTCCTCTTAAACAAGCATCACACACCTTGTGATCTTTGAACCTTGACTTGGGCAGCCTACGGGCCAGGTCCTTCTTGACCAACTTGTTCAGCAATGAAAAACTTGCATGTCCCAATCTTCTGTGTCATAGCTTAGAATCATCATCAACAACAATCAGACATGTAAGATCCCCATTGTGCAAGGACTCAAAATTAGCAACATAGATATTTTTAAATCTTTTTGCCAACAGAACCACTTCACCAATCACGAGATTTGTGACTGTGCAGGTTTTTGATAAAAATATCCACTTTGTTTCCTTTGTCGCAGATTTGAGAAACACTTAGTAGGGTATATTTCAAGACATTCACATAGTACACATTCTCAATTTAATGAGTGAGCGTCTTTCCAATTCTTCCTACTCCCAGAATGTATCCCTTTTTGCCATTGCCAAAGGACACACTCCCTCCTTGCAGGGCTTTGAGAGAAAGGAAATCATCAATGTTTCCAGTCATACGCTCAGAGCAACCACTATCCATATACCATTTTGACTGCTTTCTTTCACTGCTCCCTGCACAAGAGAATCAAGGATTAGACTCCCTTGTAGTGAGAAAAAGGGCAAATTAAACTTCTTTTTGTCCAAGCAGGCAGTACACATTTTTAATGGAGGAACCAGGTTCCTTAGCAGTAGTTACCTTTTCAACAAAAACTTTATTTTTCTGTTGGGACTGAATTCTAGCCTTACAGTTTTGTTTAAAGTGTCTTGTATTACCACAGTGAGTGCAGAGCTAGTTATCAGGGACAGTAACATACTTGCTATGTGGATTGTAGGGAGTCATCTCCTTTTGGAACCCGACTCCCTGCATGTCCCCTCAATTGCTTGTATACATGGAAATGATTGTATCAGAGGACCATGTCCACTTTAGAGATTTTTCTAGGTCATTTTTAACTTTGCCTAGATCTTCTTAAAGTTGTCCGTTTCTTTCAAGTTTAGTACACATACTAGATTTCACAAATTTTAGTTCATTTTCAAGCTTAATGTGTGCCCCCCTTGCAACTTCCTTTCCCTTTTGGATGTTCCCAAAACTATTTCCCCTTTTTAGTTCCTCAATTTTTTCTTTTTGAACCACAACTACTACCAACAGGTCATCTCTCTCATGCTATATGTTTTCAATTCTTTCAGTTAGAACATCCTTTTCCTTCTTTATAACCTCGATAGTTTCTTTTATGTCAACCACTACGACTACCAGATCATCTCTCTCATATTCTACCTCTCCTAGTTCCATAGTTAACACATTTTTGTCATTTATAAGATTATGATAAGCATCAATTAAAACTTTGGCCAAAGACATAGCTTCTTCTGAGAGTAAGACTTCAAATTTCTTTGAACGTCTAGAAAGTTTACCTCATCATCATTATCATCATCTTCATCATCGTCAGATTTTGCCATCAGGGCAAAAATGGAGTCATATTCTGCTGCTTCACTTTCAACTGCCATCATAGAGGTTTCACCTTGTTCATCATCTTCTCCAGATTTGCTGGAAGAATCTCACCATGCAGTAAGAGCTTGTTTCACAACATTGTCAGCGACATCTTTTCTCTTGAATCTTTTATCACGAACCGGGTTCTTCTTGACTACTTTGTCTGTATTGTGCTTCTACTGGTCTTCTTGAGGAGAGGACAGCCTTGATAAAGTGCACTGGCTTCTCATATTTATGACGCAAGTCATAACCTCTTGTATTGATGGAGCTACCCCTTTTTGGAATGCCTCAATTTCTATGCACCATTTTCTGAAATCTTTTTGTTAGATAAGCCATGTGAGCATCCTCACTACCCGAGTCATTGTTTTTAGCCTAGAGGACCATGTTTTTCTCCTTCTTGGGTTCTCTTCTTTCATGGTCCTTCTTTTTCTTCATTTTATAAGTCTTCAGATTTCTGATGAGTTCATCAAGGGTCAACGTTTGCAGATCCTTTGCCTATGTGATAGCATTTACTTTGCTTTCCCAGGAACCAGGTAATACACTAAGTATTTTCCTGACAAGTTTGTTCCTTGAAATAATTTCTCCTAGAGAGTGGAGCTTGTTGATGATGAAGGTGAATCGAGTGTGCATGTCCTGAATGGACTCATCATCCTTCATCCTAAAGAGTTCATACTCGGTGGTGAGCATGTCGATCTTTGAGTGCTTGAATTGAGTTGTTCCTTTATGTGTTGATCTCCTTGGCAGATTGACAGGCAGAGATTCTGTGTACTTGTCTGGTCCAATACCACAGACGAGAATCCTTTTTGATTGAAAGTTCTTCTCTATGGCTTTTCGGTCAACATCATTGTACCCCTTCCTTGTCTTTGGACCTGTCACTGCTGGCTCGCCAATAGTTTTCACGGGCACAAAGGGTCCATCGAAGATAACATTCCAAAGCTCTGAATCTCCAGCCATGATAAAATCATGCATCCTTGTCTTCCACCATCTGTAGCATTGTCCTTGAATCTTGATGGTCTGTAGGTTGATTGACTTTCTTCAAATTTTTGTAGAGCAGCCATTTGGATCATTTCTAGGTGTTAGCCTGATAGAAAGAACCTGCTCCGATACCAATTGATGAAAACTTATTGTCCACCAAACTGTATAGAGAACCTGGTTCTCTATCAGTTTTCACAGAACACACATAATAAGAGATAAGTAAATGACATAACAGAGTTTTACGTGGAAAACTCCCAGCTCACGGGATTAAAAACCATGGCCTACACTCATAGGATTTCAACTTCACTACTGAGCAAACTTCAGATTACAAACTATTGTAACCTAGGAATTAAACTCTTAATCCCTCACTCTCTTGTAATAACTCTATTACAAGCTTCTTTGTAATAACTCTATTACAAAGCTCACAACTCGACTAACTCTAGCCAAGACACAAACACAAGGTTTATGGTTTTACAAATGGTTTCCAACACAATGCTTCTAGCTAAGCTAAGTAGGAATTACAAGTAGATCACTCTAACAAAGGTACAACACAACTAAGGACATGGTAATTCAGTACTAGAAACTGGTCCTTTGTTATGTTGTTCTTTATTCTTGAAGCCTTGAAGTCACATGCAAGATGGCAACACACTTAAGAGAAGACTTGTTGATTTTTTTTTTGGATGTGCAAGTGTGTTTTTTCCCTTGCTTCATGTTGATAAAATGCAAGTGATGTCACTTGGATGATGAAAGTAATTATCCGGTACGCATTCCCCCATAAAGTGACCGCTGTACTGTTTGCACTGTTGCGTGTGTGCAGAGGAACAATTACAACGACTTTACAGCTGTGCGGAGTTGACTGGTACAATTAGCAAGGGAACTGATGTCCATCTGTTCCCTCTGTCGTTTCTTTGACTCTAGTTATTGGAACTTGTGCCCGACTTGAGACTTGTTGTTCTTGAGCACTTTGAGGATGTGTAACATGTTCCCGATCTGATTCTTATTATAAAGATTGTTAGTTCATCAAAATATAAAAAGGCACATAACTTATCAAAAGGCTACTAGTTACTATATGAACTTTTTCATTAATTAAAATGATCATGTGTGCGCAGTGGAATTCACAAATGCTAGTTCTGCTTTTTGAGAAAATAGATTAACTCTAATTTGTTGGTCTGTATATGAAGTACTAATATGGTATTTATGATGTGAATTTGATGTATATATTATATTAGTAATAGTAGAATGAAATATTAAAATGATTACTAAAATGTTATTTTGATTGGGAAAACATTATATAGTTCAGAATTTGAATAGTTTAAGGCGGAAAAATCGGCTTGGAGGGAGCACATTGCACTGCTACAAATAATGAAGAAAAGAGTGTTGCAACTACTAGCTGCTTGTAGCCGGGGAGAAGTCAGGAAATTCAATAAGGGTGTTCAAATTTTAAATATCCTTTGCCAGTGGACTATGCAATGTTATTCAAAATTTATTTTTTATCAATAACAAGTAATATTTTACAGTATAATTTTTTGGCGAAGGGTATTCAATTGACCACCCTTGGCCACACGTAGCTTCGCCCCTGCTTGTCGCAAATGAGTGAATTCGTGTCAACTATCTGGCATCTAATGTTGTGATGGGGGTCTCACTCACTGTAACATTTACATTTGCATATTGGCTAGAAGGGAATTCCTCATCTTTTGCATTTCTTTCTATTTAAAAACCTGGTTGCTTAGCCTGTGGCAATACACCTTCATTGTTTAACATCACAACCACAGAAGAAATACTTGGGCGATCTTCAGGACATTGTTGGACACATAATAGACCAATGAAGATTGATCGTACCACTTGAGTTGTCGAACAAGAATCACCTAGGCATTCATCAAGTAGTTCTATTGACCTACCTTCTTTATAGAGTTCCCATGCCTGTAAATGTTTCAAGCTTATTAGTAATCACCAGTGTTTTAAAAGGCGTGGGTGTAAGGCGAGTCGTTTTATATATGCCTCAACGAGGCGTAAGCCCCGAGTCACGGGGCATAAGCCCCATAGGTATTTAATTTTTAATATTTTATGAAATAATATAATTACAGTAAATATTTATAAACAGGTAAAATTGCATAAAAATTAAAGAAGCTTCATTCTTACAAAAAACTAGTCAAAATAATTTATTATATGCTACTTAGAAGCACAACTAACTTGAGTCGAAAAGAATAAAATTTTCTATATGAAGGACAAAAAAGATGACTAACGTGTAATTTAAACTTTAAACTTGCTCCTATATAGGAGAATTGAGTTCTCTTTGTATTTGTAAAAAAAAAATTGAATATTCGTTGGAGATATTAGCAGATTAGCGGACAAGATAAAGAATTGGGAAAGATCATGAATTAGGGCTTCAATCAATAAAAAAGGTCTTGTCTTTTAAATTTAATACATTTTAGTTCCCTTTTTAAAATCTTTGAGTAATTACCACCTGACTTTTGAGAATTTGAGTAAATTAAAAAGGACTTATTCAACAAATTTTGTTTTAATTTGAAAAATTCTCGCATCACTAAAAAAACGCGTCTCAAACGCCCCACACCATTGCCTCGAGGCGTTTTTGGTGCGCCCAGCCCCGGGGCTCGCCCCAAAAACGCCTTTTAAAACGGTGGTAATCACTAGCTTTGCCAGATATTTTACTATTAGATAACTCGAACAGGTAAATATAATAGAGCAAATTAAAAATCTTACATATCCAAGTAGATTGATGCTATGGTCTGGATGAAAGAATCTTCTGTTGTTTCTCCCACTCACGATTTCCAGTACTAATATACCAAAGCTAAATACATCTGAGTTTACTGAGTATTTCCCGTGCAATGCATATTCCGGTGAGAGGTACCCACTACATAAAAATGTACAGAAAAGATAGAATTACTTATAATGCTGGAAAATATACCTTAACTATATCAAGATTCTTCTTCTGTTCAAATTTTTAACTATCCAGTAGAAGGTTCTTACTATGTTCCAACAACTCGGTTTGTCATGGCTCCAGTGTCATCCTCTTCCCATATTTTTGCTAATCCAAAGTCTGATATCTTTGGATTCATATCCTTGTCTAACAAGATGTTGTTAGCTTTCAGGTCTCGGTGAATTATTCTCAATTGAGAATCTTGATGCAGATACATAAGTCCCCGAGCTATACTATTGATAATGTGAAAGCGCTTAGGCCAGTCTAATACCCTGCTTTGCGTGTCATCTGCCAAAAACATTGTTGGGTCACTAATGCGCTAGAAAGTAAGTACCAAAACATAAAACTAAAGTCCATTCTCTTTTTGAAAAAAAGAATATCATATGTTTGGGCTACCAAGTATGTCACTATTGCGCTCTAATGCAGCTGAGTTCCTAGTTCTTTTCTTACATGTTTTTGTCTTGCTTCATGGTGTTTTCATGATTGGAAGAAGATTATTGAAGTACTCCTAAAGACATCAGCTCACTGTTGTGCAATTATTAGTCAATATGCATAATAATGGATGGAGAAGTTGTACCAAATATAAAGGAATCAAGACTCCCGTTTGGCAAGTACTCATAGATCAACATTTTTTCTTCCCCTTCAATGCAGCAGTCAAGAATCTTCACCAGATTCCTATGTTGAAGTTTTGCAATATATAAAACTTCATTCTTGAACTCGGTTTCTCCTTGTGTGGAAGTTCTAGACAGCCGCTTGACAGCTATTTCCTGTCCTTCAAGTGTGCCCTAAACATAACAATCTCTGCATGTTAATATTTTCAATACCTAATTTGGTGTATTTCTTGTACAAAACTGCACCAGGCCTCAAGTTTTTATACCTTATAAACAGGTCCAAAACCGCCCTCTCCAATCTTTTTGTCTATTGAAAAGTTATTGATAGCCCTGGCTATCATAGATAAGTCAAACAGTGGTATCTCAAATTCTTCAGCACAATTACTCCTGTTGTAATCCATCTTGTAGCTGCCACTGCATCCCCATCTTCCTGCCAAAAGCAAATTATGTGAGTTTTCTTTAAGCTACAAACACCAGACCAAAAAGATAGGTAGTTGTTTTCACACTTATTTAAATTTCTATTCCTTTATTTTGCTCAGACGGGACAAAAAGGGACTTATCCAGCTTACCTTTTTTTTTTTGAGTTCTAAAGCGTTCTTCCTTCTTCTATGGCAAACCAGCAGGCTAAGGATTACTAGAATCACACCAACTGATAATGGAAGAATCCAGAAAAGTACATTTCCTTCCTTTCCATCCGATTGCTGCGCACTATCTGCAATTAATTCCAGCAAAATAAATAATAAAATTTCACTTTCTATCTCTCCGATCCTTAGAGGAGTTGATAAGTGATATATAGTTATAACGATCCTGCTAACCTTTGTAGTACTGAACGTGCATTCCATAACAGTTTAATTTTGAGTGATATTTTTACCTTGATTGATGCTAGTATGAACTGCTAGGTCTGTAGAAAACTATCACTACTAAAAAACTGGCTAATTCGTCCCGGAAAACCGACCGTAATCGGTCGGAATTTGAGAAAAAGTGATCGATTTCCGACCGCTTTTAATTAGTCAAAAAAATGATGGTCGCTAAGGTGTTGCAACCGAAATCGGTCGAAATTTTCCGACCGAAAACGGTCGGCTATTTCAATGCGTTGATTGACAACCATTTTTCAAATACCGACTGAAATCGGTCGGTATTAATTAAATTTTTTAAATTTATTTTTCAAATACCGACCGAAATTGATCGGTATTAATTAATATTTTTTAATTTATTTTTTAAATACCGACCGAAATCGGTCGGTATTAATTAAATTTTTTAAATTTATTTTTCAAATACCGACCGAAATTGATCGGTATTAATTAATATTTTTTAATTTATTTTTTAAATACCGACCGAAATCGGTCGGTATTAATTAAATTTTTATTTTATTTATTTTTCAAATACCGACCGAAATCGGTCGGTATTAATTAAATTTTTATTTTATTTATTTTTCAAATACCGACCGAAATCAGTCGGAATTTTAAATATATAATAATTTTAAAAATCTTCCAAATATATATTTTTTTGTACCGCATGTATACTCCCCAGCAAGAGATATCATAGCACCACAATATTATATCTTATTACTATATTACTAATTAGTACTAGTATATATCTTATTACTATATTACTAATTAGTACTATTATATATTATTATCATTATTATTTTATTGAATTCTAATTCTAATTATAGAATATTAAATCTTATTACTAAGCACTAACTACAACCCTTCCTATATTTGCTTATTTTTTGTTAGTCCACAACTGTTGGACTCTATGGCATCAAAGCTCAACTTATAAGATGAAAAAGCTCACATCTTTCAGCCAATGTGGGACAAGAGCATAATTTGAAAATTTCCGATCGAAATCGGTCGGAATTTTTGAAAAATTCTAATATAAAATTATATTCCCATGGAAAAAGCTCACATTTTTTAGCCGATGTGGGACAAGAGCATAATTTCAAATTTTTCGACCGAAATTGGTCGGAATTTTTGAAATATTTTAATAAAAAATTATTTTCCCATGGAAAAAGCTCACATATTTTAGCCTGATGTGGGACAAGAGCAGATTTCAAATTTTCCGACCGAAATCAGTCGGAAATTTTGAAATATTTTAATAAACAATTATTTTTCCATGGAAAAACCCACTGCTCTTCCCATATATATATATATATATTTAGACCGTTTGACCTCAATATTTATGATCGAATTCGTTCGGAATTTAATTAAATATTTTCTTTTTAAAATTATTTTAATTATATATATATATATATATCGAATATAGCTTATATATATA